ACACACCTACCCATTTACACAAAACCTCACGCCATCTGCACGAAACCCCATGCACGACCTGAAGTGAACCCATGCACGCCATCTGCACGAAACCCCATGCACAACCTTAAGTGAACCCATGCACGACCACCACACATGCATGAAATCTATGCGAACCCCCAATGCGAATCCCACACAAGACGAGCATCCCAATTAAAAAGAATCCAACAAAAAATGAAACCCCACAGGAAAAGGTCCCCAATAGAGAGAACCCCACAGGATTAGGGTTCCATGCAAAAAGAACCCCACCAAATAGAGTCCCATGCAAAGAGAACCCCACACAAATAGAAAACGATGCGTAAAGAATCCCATACGAAAAGAACCCCACATGAATAGAGTCCCATGTGAAAAGAACCTTACACGAATATGCGAAAAGAACCTCACACGAACAGAAGCTCATGCGAAAAGAACTTCACACGAATAGAGTCCCATAGGATAAGAACTTTACATGAATAGATTCAAATATGAAAAGAACCCCACACGAATAGAGTCCCATGCAAAAAGAATCTCACACAAATAAAGTCCCATGCGAAAGGAACCCCACGTAAATAGAGTCCCATGTGAATAGATCCCACAGAAATAGAGTCCCATGCAAAAGGAAACCCACATGATTCATACACGACCCACAGACAAACCTAGATGATCCCACTCACGCACGCATGCCACACGAAACCTATACGGCTAGACTCCCCCCCCCCCCTCAGCCACACGTAGGAGGTCCTTCACGAAACCTCATCCACCAACTCCACATACACTCCACATGAACCCTACATCAACCCCCTAAACCAAACCCTACACGTAAACCTTCCACATGAACGCCACACGCAAACACCACGACCCCATCACACGACCCCCCAACGCACGATTCCACGCAGCAAGACGTTACGACTCGTTCCCCGAGGTCGTGTCGTGGGCGTCTGGGAAACACAGGAGGGGGACGGTGGTAGGGGGCAGGTCCGGATGGAGGTTGGGGGGGATCTGGGGCAGGGAGGGGGAGGGCACGCGACGGGAGGAGGGGGAGGAGGACGAAGCGCCCCCGCCGCCGCCGCCGCCGCCGCCGCCCGGGGTCATCACCGCCGGATGGTGGTGGTGATGGTGGTGGTGGTGGGAGGGAGAGGCGTGGCTGGCGGTGGTCATGGTGATGCTCGGGCTGACGGCGACCGCGGCAGTGGACAGGAAGACACTGCTGCTGGCGCTGCCTCCTCCGCCGCCGCCGCCGCCACCACCACCACCACCTCCTCCTCCTCCTCCTAGAACTCCTCCTCCTCCTCCTCCTCCTCCTCCCCCAAGACTCCCTCCTCCTCCTACCATTATTCCAGCGTGGAGGGACAGGGACTCTGGAGGACGAGGTCGAGCAGCCACTTTGAGGTGTAGGGCGGCGTTCGGGACGAGGCCCAGCTCAGCCATGGTTGCGGTCCCTTGTTCTAACACCTGTGGAAAAAATCAGCATTAACATATATCGTCTTTCTCCTTTTCAACACTGGCTCTCTGTTTGTCTGTCTGGCATTCTGTCTGTCTATCTGTCTCCCCGTCTGGCTGTGTCACGAGCTCCCTCCTATTTTACAGACAGGATAATTTTCGCTTGAGATACAAACACATTAAAAGAGAAGCGAAATCCACCACGTTTCAAGTGAAAAAAATAACTTCTCAAGTATGAACACGAGCACAAATCGAGGTCCTGTTTCTTCCCTTTATCATGGCTGTTGCTTTTAATCAATCGTTTCTCTCGTCATAAGCAACTACATTTGTACTTTATGATTCTTTCGGTACAAGAATATCTACATTTCGCTTTTTGAACACGGCTTTGCATTTTGCGAATGTCGTAATCCTCGCAGCTCAGACTTACCTGGAATGGATAGGTCTTCACGATGTCAAAGTCCTCGTTATCTCCACGATAAGACCTCAGATAAGCGCGAAGTTTATCTAGGGTATCCGAGGCCTTCAGCTTGATCATGTAGGTCTCTGTGCCTGGAGAGAGAGACGGCCTTTTAATGAAATGATGTTTCTGATGAGGTTTTAATTGTACGCGTCATCTGCGCATCTTGTAGTGTGAAGTTATTCTCTTTTATTCATGTATCTTTTTATTTGTCATTCTCAATGGGATGGAAGGATATTATAATTATTATTGTAATTATATCGATATACATAATTATGAATTTCTTTATTCGTGTTCTTGCATCTGCCACTGTGATTCATAAATGGCATCGGTAATTTCATTATGATTTTTACTACATATATTGCTATATTGCTATAGCCTACCTGGTGCACATTGTCAGATATGGCAGACGAAGCAGTATATATCATAAAAAGTAAGAAGAACAAGAAGAACAAGAAGAACAAGAAGAAGGAGAGAGAGAGAGAGAGAGAGAGAGAGAGAGAGAGAGAGAGAGAGGAAGAGAGAGAGAGAGAGAGAGGAAACAGAAGATATAAGAGAAGAGAGGAGAAGAGAGAGAGATAAAAAACCACGCAATCAAACACCCTCCAAAGGACACGAACCATTCTCCACTTTGATCCGCAGCGTCGTTCTCGTGGGTCCGTGTCCGTGGTCGTGATGAGCCGCGGACGAAGTAGTCGCCGCCGTACCGCCCGCGCCTCCGCCAGGAACACCCGCTCCAACCCCGCCGCCGCCGCCACCTACACCCAGCCCGACCGAAGACGCGCCACTCCCGCCGTCGGTCGTGGCGCTCGGGTCGTCGGCCTGACCCTCCCGCGGCGCCTCCTGCTGCGTCTCCCCCCCCTCGCCCGTGTGGTTGTCCTGCTCGTTGCTCTCCTGACTCTCGCCCGCTTCGTCGAGTACGGGCGTGTGGACGAGGGTGAGGGAGTTCTTCCTCGAGGGGCCCTGAGGGATCTTGAGGGTGAGAGTGGGGGATGCCTTGGTGGGGGACGCGCCTCAGGGGGTTAGTGGGGGGGTTTGGTGGTCTTATTGGGGGTGATGGTGATGATAACAGTAATAATGATGATAATAATAATAGTGCCATCAACAACAAAAAACAATAACACTAATAATAATAATAATAATAATAATAATAATTATCATTATTACTATCACCATTATTATTAATATCTTGATTGTTGTTTTTGTTATTATTGTCATTAATATTATTATCATTATTATTATTATCATTATCATTATTATTATTATTATTATTATTATTATTATTATCAATTATCATTATTATTATTATTATTATTACTATCACTATTATCATCCTTATTATTATCCCTATATATCCTTATTCCTATTATCATTATTATTATTGCTATCATGATTATTATTATTATTACTATTATTATCAATGTTTTATTGTCATTATTATTCAGATTATTATCACCATTATTACTATCATTATCACTATTATTATCATTATCATTATTTTTATTATTATCATCATTATTATCCCTATCATTATTGCTGTTATATTTATTGTAATTATTGTTATCATCTTCATTAGTAGTAGTAATAGTATTAATAGTACAAGTACTGCTACCATTACCATGACTACTTTTCATCATCACCATCATTAATATCATCATAATTATAATTGTTACAATCACCATTATTACTCTTTTACCATAATGATTATCATAATTACTTTATCATCACCATTATGAAAATCATCACCCCTGGCATTATGATTATTATTGTATTTACATAATCGTTTATTTATTATAGATGCAGTTATTGTTAATGATACTAAATAACTTTGATGATATAATCATTATTGTCATCATTACTATCTGGCTATATTCCAGTCTTATAAATTAAAGTTTTTATAACGTTTTGATTATATAAAGATAGCGAATGCTGGTGTGCAGTGTGTGTGTGTGTGTGCGTGCATGTGTAGTGTGTGTGTGTGTGTGTGTGTGTGTGTGTGTGTGCGTGTGTGTGTGTGTGTGTGTGTGTGTGTGTGTGTGTGTGTGTGTGCGTGTGCGTGTGTGTGTGTGCGTGTGTGTGCGTGCGTGTGTGTGTGTGCGTGTTGTGTGTGTGTGTGTGTGCGTGTTGTGTGTGTGCGTGTTGTGTATTGTGTGCGTGTTGTGTGTGTGTGCGTGTTGTGTGTTGTGTGCGTGTTGTGTGTTGTGTGCGTGTTGTGTGTGTGTGTGTGTGTGTGTGTGTGTGTGTGTGTGTGTGTGTGTGTGTGTGTGTGTGTGTGTGTGTGTGTGTGTGTTTACAGACAGAAATATCAATAGAACATTAGTCAGCCACATGCTTGTTTAACGTATCGCCTAATAATTATGAAATTCAAAGAAAGATATTAAGATAAAGGAAAAAAAAAATATTATCACTGTGTTATCATGCATCGTGGCAAGCCATGGAAAGCATTTTTTTGTGTCAGAAATATCATGGAAAAAAAATCTTTTAAAAGAAGTTTAACATGGAAGTACCGCGTCCTAGAAATGCATTCGCGTAAGTGAATCCGGTACACTGAATCCGGTTCGATCATTTACGCGAACGCATCTCTCGCATGCTCCCTTCCTTGTGGTTTTACGTTTTTTTTTTATTACATCTAGCAGATTGGTTATTTAGATGTTCTGTTACTCACACTTTTAAACATATCAAGCATTGAAATTACGCTGGACGACTGAGAGGAAGATGGCATTCATATAAATACATATTGTTATTATCAGCATTATAATGATGCTGATATGACTGGATTTGTCTAAACTCAGGAAACAAATCGTGAAAAGTGAAAAAAAGAACGGAAATGGCATTATTCTCACTCGCACCCATCAGTATCCTTGAAAAAAATGTCTAGTGTCTTTTGCATTTATTCTCTCCTACTCATTTATTTATTTATTTTTTTTTGTTCTCTTACGTTGTTAAAGCAAAAGGAAGGAAACTAAAATAAAAAAAATAATAAATGCCTGACGGCCTCTCTGAGAGGACAGAAAGCAAGCGGCCCTCCGAGCGGCTCAGCGCGGGGCCTGCGCGCGCACTCACCATGAGCATGTCGGCGACCTCCTCGCGCAGGTTGACGATCTTGCCGTTCTTGACGACGCAGGTGGGGACCTTGGCCAGGAAGTCCTCGACGGACGTCCTCCTCTTCCTGAGGCTGTCCATGTCGTAGGGGTCGGCGCCCATCACGCCCAGGCTGCCCCGCCGCAGCTGGTTGCCGTTGGTGTCGAAGGTGTCGTCGTTGAGGAGGAAGGCCGTGCGGTTGATGCGGTTCCACTCCAGCGGGTGCTTCGAGGTCATCCTCCGTCCGAGGTCGAGGTCCAGCGTCGTCCGCGCCAGCTCGCTGCTGCGGCGGCACTCGGACCCGCGGCGGCACTGGTGCGTGCGGTGGTCGGAGCCGCGCCGCGACTCGCTCTCCCGCCGCCCCTCGCGCCGCATGATGGGCACGCCCGCCGCCGGCGCCTCCGTCGGCCGCCACAGCTCGCTGCCGCGCCGCCCCAGCTCGGTCGAGCGCCGGCCGGAGTCGCTGCCGCGCCTGCCCACCTCCGCCCGGCTGCCCCCGCCCTCGCCCTCCGACTTGTCGCTCCCGCGCTGCAGGGAGTTGCGCCGGCTGCTCACGTCGCTCGACTCGCTCCGGTAGTCGACGTCGGGACAGAGGTGCGAGGAGTCGCCGCCGGGCTCAGCCGGCGCCGCGGGCGTGGCCTCGGCGGGCACGGGCGCGGGCAGCTCGCCCGGGCGGGGGTCCGTCTCGCTGCTGCACATCATGGAGGTGACGGAGGTGAGCGAGGAGCCCGTCGGGAGCGAGTCGGAGGCCGTGGCCAGGCGCGGCTTCGGGGGCACGGGGGGGCGGCTGCTGCCCTTGCGCCGCGAGGAGTTGGGCAGGAAGATCACCTGCCGCTTGTCCCGCACCTGGGGGCAGGGGGGGGGGGGTAAGCGCAATGGAGTCATTCCTCGCCAAGTGCTCTCGTCGTGCGGCCTAATCTTTCTAATCATTCCAGAGAATTTTAATCACTCAATTACTCTAATTATTCCAAAAACTAATCATTCCCATTGTTTCGAATCACTAATATTAATGATCTAATCCTCCTCACGCTAATCACTGATAAACTTTTCCTAGTTTCTAATCGCCAATCCTAACAGTCTAATCGTCTTCCACATCCTCACGCTAATCGCATTCAAACATATTACTCCCACTCATTCCTGACAGTCTTACCCCCCCTCCCCAATCATTCCTAGCATTCCAACCATTCCCATTCCTCCCTCATTCTCCTCAGCCCCTTCCCTCCCCCAATCATTCCAGGCATTCAAACCATTCCCATTTCTTCTCAATTCTCCCCACCCCCCTTCCCTAGGATTCCAAACACTTCCCCCAACAATCCTTCCAAGCATTCCAACCACTCCCATTCCTGTCTCATTCTCTTCATCCCCCTTCCCTAGCATTCCAACCATTCCCATTCCTGCCTCATTCTTCTCAATTCTCCTCACCCCCCTTCCCTAGGATTCCAACCATTCCCCCCAAACAATCCTTCCAACCATTCCCATCCCCCCCCTCCTACAATCTCCTCACCCCCCCTTCCCTAGCATTCCAAGCATTCCAACCAATTCCCATTCCCGCCTCACCTTGATCGGCACGCCCTCGGGATAGACGGCCTGCAGCTCGGAGGGGAAGAAACCGTCGAGGATGTCCTGCAAGAACTGCCTCGTCTTCACCGCCTCGAAGCTTCTGAAGCCTCCGTCGTTGACCACGATCCCGTTCTTGTAGAGGGTCAACTGCAGACTCTCGCCCACCTGAGGAAGGAGGAAGATTGTGGAGGTTGTAGTTGTAGAAGGTTGAATCAGAATCGTTGTAAATGTGTTATTTTTTTGTTGCAATCGATGTGCTGTGATTGTGGTTATGTTTGTGTTATTTTTAGTACAATTAATTGCAGAATTATTTGGTCATATCATATCGACTGTGTCTTTGTTGGTGTGTTGTCTGTGATACTGTATGTCAGTTACTTAAGCGATGATCATACAGAAGAAAGTATATATCCATAATTTCAACATATTACAAGTAGTATAAAAAACAATAGTGAAATTATATCTAAACGTTTACCTTAATAAGACCGAAACAGATCATATGAGGTATATAAACGTCTAATAAAGATATTGCCTAAAAATCTAAGACAATATTACTTTTAAGAATCTAGAATGTGACAAAATATAATTCTGAAATAAACTAACAGGCTACATTCTAAAAAGAAAACATTCTAAAAAGAAAAGAAAAAAAATGTCGATTAAATATGTCTAAAGATCAATATTGCAAAATATTAGATGACAGTTCTAAAAAGATCTTAATATGATAAGAATCTATAATAAGCAACGATACCATTCAACACCAAAAATATTTAATATGAGTTATGATTCAGGACTAAAATTACCAACAAGATTCAACGCCAAAATGCATTTTTTTTTTATCAGTTAAACAGAAAAAAAGAATCCACCATACACGCCTAAACGAAAAAAATATATATATATCAATCAACACTAAGAACACAAGAAAATCCACACCCATCCATAGCTACGCC